ATATTTTAATAAAGGCTGTTATTAAAAAATAAACCGGAAGTGGCACTGTAGCTCAAGTGGTAGAGCGCTCGCCTTGAGCTGAAGAGCTGAGGGACAGCGCCCAAGCCCAGAGTTCAAGCCCCATGACCGACAAAAAAAAAAAAAAAGAAAATGTAATTAAAAAAATAAACCAAAAACTTAATTAATTTCATTAGATATCCACGGTAGCTTTTCATTCTTTAAAACATTAAATTTAAGAACTAGGGAGTACAGGACAGTGGTAGAATGCTTGTGTAGCATGCATGAGGCCCAGGGTTTGATCTCCAAATTCCACAAAATAAATTTTACTTAAACTTGTAGTCTGTTACCTGCTTACATTATACTTTTTTTTTTTAACCTGGCTCTAGTATTTTCTTTTGTTCTTCTGAGACCTAAGCAGCTTTGGAGACACTGAATTGGACACTAATTGAAGAGCTCAGAGGTAAAAGGAGGTAGAAGTGTTCTACTTGAGACTTTTTTTGAGGGGGGGGTCAATTGTGGGGCTTGAACTGTAGGCCTTGGCACTATCCCTCAGCTCTTCAGCTCAAGGAGAGCAATCTACCACTTGAGCCACAGTGCCACTTCTGCTTTTCTGGTGGTTAATTGGAGGTAAGTCTTACAGGCTTTCCTGCCCAGGGCTGGCTTTGAATCATGATCCTCAGATCTCAGCCTCCTGAGTAGCTAGAATTATAGGCATGAGCCATTGGTGCCTGGCTTGAGATGTTTTAATACACTTCAAAAAATCTGATCCTTAAGGAAATCCTGAAACTAAGGCTCAGAAAAATTAAGTAACTTGCTCAAGGCCAAAGGTAATTAAGTAATGATAAAAATTATTTAAATACAACCTGTCTCTTATATTCCTGTGATTTCCAATATGGAATTACATGTGTTTTTTGTTGTTGTTTTGCCAGTACTGGGGCTTGAACTCAGGGCTTTGAGATCTTGCTCTGCTTTCTTGATCACAGCAGACACTCTATCACTTGAGCCACATTTCCAACTTGGTATTTTACCAGCTGAGGCAAAATATTGAGTACTTTTCTGCCTGGGCTAACTTCAAACCAACATGTTCAAGTTGTCCTGAGTATCTAGGATTATAGGCATGAACAACTGGTGAACAGCTATGTCTATCATTTTTAACTTGTCACAAAATAACAAGAGGAAGAAAGTTAAACTAAAATGAGGCTTAGATATATAGTGTCTAAGAATGATGCTCATTATGTTTTTAGAATTATATGTGTATATACACACATATAACAGTCACCTAACTCATTTGTATGATTGCATACACATATTCCAACTATTTTTTAAATTTTAACAATTTGACTAAATCAGAAAATTTTCAAATGGTCCCAACACTTTAAACATTGACTCAATACCAACAGGTTTAATCATTTCACTTACAAGAAGAAATAAGGTCCTCAAAAGAATGGCTAATAACACTGTCTTCAAGAATTTACAACAGTAAAACAAAATTTTGACAGTGAAAATAATTGTCAGGAGGACACAAGTAAAGCTCAAGATTTTCTGGAATTTTGTTGGCTTTAACTTTTTTTTTTTGGTCAGTCGCAGGGCTTGAACTCTGGGCCTGGGTGCTGTCCCTTAGCTCTTCAGCTCAAGGCTAACGCTCTACTACTTGAGCCACAGCGCCACTTCCGGCTTTTTATGCTTATGTGGTGCTGAGGAATCGAACCCGGGCCTCATGCATTCGAGGCAAGCACTCTACCCCTGAGCCACCTTCCCAGCCCCTAAGTAAACTTTCTTTAAAAGAAGTTTATCACAATTAGTCAAAATGCCAGTATCCAATGGACTATCAAAAGTCAGGAAATGTACAAGAGATGTTTTAATTATCAATATTCTTTTGACTTAATACCTCAAATATTCAAATATTTGGCAAAAATACATAAAAATTAATCAAGACCAAACATACTATTATCAATATTATGAAAATGTTTTCTTTACCTTATTCACCTTAGTTTTCTTCCCATTTTGTGTGTCTTATTTTCTTCACATTAAAGTATCTAAACCAGAAAGCCCCTAATCATAAATTTTTTATCCAAGGTTTTGACAAAAATAATTCACCATGGGTGTATATACCCTTTCCTAATGTCTCTTCATAGGTAATGACTATTATACAACCATATATATGACAGATGGCAGTCCTCCCTAGTTTATTCCTGATAAACAGTCTACTACAGTTACCGGCCCACATCTCTGACCCCAAATTACCTAACACAACAAAAACATAAAACAAGTTACAAAAATCTACAACCTGGAAATATGTGAAAATATCTCAATCTTCTCTTACCCCATTCTAGCCTGCATTTTTCTTTTTCAGGTATTTTTCTCACAAGGTACTTTCTTTGATAATGAAACAGAATAAAGACAGTATTTTATATGCACTAAAGTTTGAAAATTATTATAAACTTTAAGAAAATCTAATATATGACAATTTCTACCATTTATAACTTTCATTTGTTATTCACTTAAAGTTCCCCAAATCATTATTTTCAATTTTTTAAAATAAGATTCTAACTGCTTTTAAGTGTATCACTTTCTGGGTATTTTCTATCAGCTATTATGTTGACTAATTTAAAAATATGTTTTAAATTAAAAACTACAGTTAAAATATCATATCAGTAACATTTTAAACTCTTAAAAGTACTTTGTCTACTCACAGATAAGTGATGTATCATTTAGAATCTCCTCTTAAAGAATTAATTCAGTTGTCCCATCCTTACTCATTTAAAACACAGTTGCTGTTTCAGGCTGTGAAAAAACTGAGAACTTGTCTCCTGTCATGTGTATATTAATCAAAATACTGGCAAGGAGACACATATAATTTTAAGGGAGTACTTGAGTAGTTTGATGTGTTAGCAGATTAGGAACAGGAAAAAAATGTTTGGTAAAAGCTACTATATTAAGTGAAATTTTAATGGTATCTTAAAAATGAGACTATAACAATTTATAACTTATGCTAGTTTTTCATGTTTTTTATAATTAACATTTATTTGTACTGAACAACAATAAATCTACCATCTACTTCTCAAAACATTTATTCTTCTCTTTAAGCAATGATTTACAGACACCTGGTACTATATTTCAAATTACATTTATTTTTTTTTCTTTTATTTATTTATTTTTTTGGGTCTGGTCGTGGGCCTGAACTCTGGGCCTGGGCATTGTCCCTCAGCTCTTCAGCTCAAGGCTAGCTGCTCTACCACTTGAGCCACAGCGCCACTTCTGAATTTTTTTTTCTGCTTATGTGGTGCTGAGGAATTGAACCCAGAGCCTCATGCATGCAAGGCAAGCGCTCTACCACTGAGCCACCTTCCCAGCCCTCAAATTCCTTTTAAATATATAAAACACCCTTAAGTTTAAACACCACACATAGTAGATTACAAATCATAAGGAAATCTAGGTCTTCTTTTAACTTGTAGAAAAGTCAACAACAAACATCCAAACAGGAAAAGTAGGACCAGGGGACATAGCACAGTGGTAACAGTGATTGTCTAGCATGTATGAAATCCTGGATTTCTACTCCTAGCACAACAATAGAGGAGGAACAAAAGGAGGAGGAAGGGGGATAAGAGAAGAAATGAACAAGAAAAGAGGAAGATAAAGAAGGAGAAACTGAATCAGCCTTACTATAGAGGCTTTGAGAGGAGGACGGCTTGAGAGCCTAAGAATGAGACCAAGCCTGGATAACATACTCGGAACCAGTTTCAGAAATTAAAAAGCTGAGTGTACATTCTTGTAATGTCATCACTCAAGAGGCTGAGGCAGAGAACTGCTAGGTCCAGGCCAGTTTGGCTATATTGTAATACTAATACCAAATAATCTCATTTTAAATACTCCAGTAAAACCAAAACAAATCAACAATTATTTCTCCTAAACTATATATTCTCTTTGTTTTGATTATATAATACTCTTAGGATAAACATGTCTAAGTACTACAAATGGACACATACATTAATCTTAAAATAAGTTAAATAGACTGGGTGCTGGTGGCTCATGCCTGTAATCCTAGTTACTCAGGAGGCTGATATCTAAGGATCTCAGTTCAAAGCCAGCCCAGGCAGGAAAGCCTGTGAGACTAGTATCTACCAAAAAAGCTGGAAGTAGAACTATGGTACAAGTGGTAAAGTGTGCCACCCTTGAGTAAAATGCTCAGGGACAGTGTCTACGCTCTGAATTTAAGCCCCAGGTCTGGTGTGTGCGCGCGCACACGCGCACGCGCACACACACAGACACACATACACACAAATTTTATACAGAAAAATAGAAAGAGCAATCTAGATACATAACAATATAAACTTTCTTCAATAAAGAATATTTACATAATTAACATATTTAAGGAGGGAGGAAAAGGGAGGACAAGAACAGGAAGAGGAAAAAGTAATGGGAAATGAAAGGCTAGTTAGAGGCAATTGGGAATCAAGTATTTCTACTCAATAAGGCCTTTATGAAAAAAGGCAATTAAATTCCTTCATATAAATGTATTAAATATGTGATCTTTTGGTATTTGTTGTAGTTGTAACATCTGAAGGCATTTAGCAGGCTTCGTTATCTCTAAACACCTTATCTGTAATTTCTTGAAACAGAAACATGCACATTTGAAAGGTAGAAAAGCAACTGTTTATCATATTGACAGTCATGAAAGAAAAAGCAATTTTAAGCTAAGAAAATCAGAAATTCAAAATCTGAAAATTGCTTTTAAGTATTGTGATATAAAAACTTTTTGAGTGATACAAAAGATGATTCTATAAACTTTAAATGTTTGCCTGATGTAAAACTTTTCATATCTAAAAAACCATGGAAGTCCATTTATTTGAGCCCTATACTTTTGCTGTGTGACTAAAAGTAAATAATGATGACTTTTACAAGAATCCAAGTTGCTATTACTTATATATTCACTCTAATACACATCTATAAGGCATACATGAACTAAAGCAAAACATTTTTATTCTGTAATTTTTACTTACCTAATATTTTCACAGCATAATGAGGACTTTCTAAGACAATTCCTTCTTCTGTGTCAAATATGGGGTTATCTATTCCAGTCTTTGGAGGAATTTGGGCTAGTTTCTTAAGTCTCATGGAAGAATTAAGGTCCAGTTCTTGCTTTTTCCCTTCTTCCTCTCGCCTACGTCTCATATCCTCCTGTTGTTGTCGAATACGCTCCAATTGTGCACTTCGTCGTACTGGCATCATCCTAGTGCCCAAATCTCCTGGGCAGTCAACAGCCATCTCTCGGTGCCTCTGATGTTCCTCTGGTGATGCAAGATCAACATTTTTTATTCCGTTGTCTGATTCCTCTGTAACATGCCCATTCATATGGAATGTTGTCATGATTATCTATAAAAACCTGTACCAATTTATATAGATCAATTTTTCCTATAAAGCCAATCCTCTTGATTCTGTAGTATAAAATCCATGTTACTTCAAAAAACAAAAAAATTTTAAAAAAGAAACTTCTCACATCACATAATAATGCTATGAAAAGGTATCCATGAAGGAAATCTAAGGGGAAAGATGGAAGGGAAAACAGTATAAGAATTACAATATAAAACCAGATTTTACATAGCCCTTTCCTACTCTCTATATAATACAGAAATTTAGTAGATATATGATTTTGCTCTATAGATTAAATGTATTTCTTGTATTTTACAAAGAATGCTGAGAAAATCAAGCCATTTCCCTTCCCCCCAATAACTCTCAAGAATTTTTTTTTTTGGCTTGGTTGTGGGGCTTGAACTCTGGGGTTGGGCACTGTCCCTGAGCTCTTCAGCTCAAGGCGAGGGCTCTACCACTTGAACCACAGCGCCACTTCTGGTTTTCTAGTAGTAATAATTGCAGAGGAGAGTCTCATGGACTTTCCTGCCCAGGCTGGCTTTGAACCATGATCCTCCTATCTTAGCCTCCTGAGTAGCTAGGATTACAGGCGTGAGCCACCAGCGCCCGACTAACTCTCAAGAATTTGAAGCATACCATTCACCTTTTTAAAAATGATGTTTTGGGCTGGGTGCTCATGCCTATAATCCTAGCTACTCTGGAGGCTGAGATCTGAGGATTGTGGTTCAAAGCCAGCCCAACCAGGAAAGTCCAAGAGACTCTTATCTCCAATTTACCACTAGAAAACTGGAAGTGGTGCTGTGACTCAAAGTGGTAGAGTGCTAGTCTTGAGCTGAAAACCTCAGGGACAGTGCCCAGGCCCTAAGTTCAAGCCCCACAACCAACAACAACAACAAAAACTGACACTGGAAAGTTTAGTAAAGTGAACAAGTAAAAAGTTTGGGGTGTTAATTCTGTAAAGGTGCTTCTTATATAAATAGTTGTTTAAATACCTGAAGTTGTCTCAGCTCTGTAATTTGTTAATTGCTAAACCAATTGATGACAGTCAATTTCTCATATATCAAGCTAACTTGGTGTGGTGGACAACTCAAAATACAGGAAATATTTGAAGGAAAAACTAATGCATTTTTAAGGGGAGTGTGAGATGGAGATGCCCAAAGTACAAGAAACTTTATAATTAGAAGCAAAGGTGCCTATAGATAAAACCTACAGAAAAAAAAAAAATCAGGAGAAAAGAAAACTTAATCTTCATTCTGTCTCTGCTATTCCCATTATCATTATGATTTAAAAAAAATTTCTGTCTCTGAACCTTAGATTCAATTAGACAAATTTTCAAAGGATTGTTTTGAACCTTAAATAAGATAATGTATATAGATTATAAAGTGAATACAGAGATATATTTATACTAATTATATGTATTAGTCTGATTCTCATCTTAAAAATCCTCTAAGATTGTTTAGACAAAGTATTTTATTAGATGGTACACTGGCTTTTCATCAAATCATTTCTTGAGCACAAACAGGCAGACTGTTTATGTGTGTAAACCCACACATAGTATCTAATTAGTCTTCTTCTGCTCAGTCTTTAAAAATATTTACAATAATAAATCTACTATCTCCTTGTGTTGAGAAGCGTTAAGTAGTTAGAGCATAATGCCAACTAAGCAAAATGCAGGTGTTTAGCCATATTACTAATGCCAATCAATCTTCCAAATAAACAGAAGACAAATCACTTAATAAACATAAAGACAGAATTAACAAGGAAAACTGTAAGACCACCAATCAAGACAACAGATACAAATAACAAGAGCCTATTAAATTTTTTCACAATAATTCTATTAATTTCAGTTTTTGGTTTTTGTTTTTGTCAGTCATAGGGCTTGAACTCTGGGCTTGGGTGCTATCTTCAGCCCTCAGTTCAAGGTGAGCGCTCTACCACTTGAGCCATAGCACCACTCCCTCACAGTAATTCTAATAAACTAGTCTCCCATCCAAATAGTAGCTTTACTTATAACCATGTGATCTACATAAGCACCTAACTTACTACTAGTTTGTCTTTTTTCATTAAAATGAGAGATATTAGACTTATCATTCTTTTTTTTTGGGGGGGGGGGTCCAGTTGTGGGGCCTGAACTCTGGGCCTGGGCGCTGTCCCTCAGCTCTTCAGCTCAAGGCTAGCGCTCTACCACTTGAGCCACAGCGCCACTTCCGGCTTTTTTCTTATGTGGTGCTGAGGAATCGAACTCAGGGCCTCATGCATTGCAAGGCAAGCACTCTACCACTGAGCCACCTTCCCAGCCCCTAGACTTATGATTCTTAAATTATATAAATATTGGCTATAAACAAATGCAAATTCAGCTTAATGTTTTCATTACAAGTAACCAGAAATTTGTGTAGGAGTTACTGTAATGCTAAGCTTAATTTTAAAATAACCTCGAAGTAAACATTTTAAGAAATTAATTCTCAACTTTTTTTTACAACAATTACTGGACATTAATCAAATTTAGTGAATAGTATATTTTTAACTTTTTTATTCTGTAAAAATTATTTGAAATTAAAATTACTGAAAAACTTTTAAGAAAAGATGCATATATTCACTACATTAAATCATGAGAGAAAATTATAGAGCATGCCAAAGAGACTGTATCAAGATTCTCATAACTGGACTATTATTACCATACTTGTTTATTTGGATTCAATCTTTCACTCTCAGAAAAATATTAGTAAACTAATATTAATCTATTTAAAATACAACTTTGGTTATCTCTCCTGGAGTGTTCATTCCTAGTGGAAAATGTGGCCAAGAAAATAAATGATAGTCTTCTCTAGTTGATTTCTTCTTACCAGATTCTAGAGATATAGGCCATGTCTTAATTTTTACAGTCTCAGTACTTAGCGTAATTAATGTCATATAAGGAAATGTACAAAAAAGTTTTTTTTAACTAAACTTGAATAGTAAAATGGTCAGAAAAGTGTTAGGAAATGCTAAAAAAAAAAACCCAAGGATATGTTTCTTTGTGCTACATTTCAACAAGCAACTAAAAAGAAGCCATAGATAGATCAGTTCTGTACAGGTTTAATCACATGATCAACAAGAAGTAATTGTATGAGAGAAATGGCACTTTCAGAAAAGAATAGAATGTAGTTAAGGTAAAGCTAGATGGGACAAAGGAAACACATCCTACACAAATAACCACAGAACTCAAAAAGCAAGCAGGAATCCAGACTCAGAAGAGTTGTAGCACTAAAGACCTTTACCTAGAAAGCAGTAAGAATTACAAAAGGATTCTATGCAGAGGATAATAGTCACATTTGATTTCATAGCAACATTATTTCCACAGAGGTATAGAGAAGTGGTTGCAGCCAGACCAGTTTACCATTTTGATAGCATTTGAAAGAAATGGGGTCCCTAAGCAAGAGAATAAAGAAAAATTGTGTTTAAGAAATATATAAGCTACAGAATCAGTGGAACTTGGTGTTTTATTTCATCTAGCAGGGCAAGTAGAAAAGATGTAAAAAAGGAGAAGGAAGTAGAGAAGGAAGCAGTAGTAAAGGTAACAGTAACAGATATCACTACAGCTAACATTTACTGAACACTTGTTTATGTGCCAGAAAATACAGTAGTTCTCCCTTTATTTAGTTTTGCTTTCTGCAGTTTCATTTTGTGTTTTTTGTTACCCGTGGCCTGAAAGTATTAAAGGGAAAATTCCAGAAATAATGCAAAAGCTTTAAATAGAATGTCATTATGAACAGTGATGAAATCATGTGCCATCTTGTTCCATTCTGCCAAGAATGTAAATCTTCTATTGAGCACATCCACACTGTAGATATAATACTTTCCCATTAGTCATTAGTCTATTTACATAGAGGAAAAGCCAACATATACATAATTTGATACAATCCTTGGCTTCAGGCATGTAGAGAACTGTAGAATGTAACTCCTGAGGACAAGCAGGGACTACTGTGTTGCAAGTACTTCACAGTGTTCACTCATTTAAATCCTTCCGACAATTTTTAAAGTAGGTCCTAATATGCTCATTTCATAAACGAGGAATGAGGGGGGGGCTTACTCATAGAGATGGGAAGGCAGGGATGGTAGGGGGAAAACAAAGTATGAGGCAACAATGCTTGATAAGAAATGTATTCATTACTCATGTAATTGTAACCCCTCTGTATGGTATTTTCACAATAAAAAACTTATTTAAAAAAAAAACAACAAATGAGAATTGATATAGGTCTTGAAGACAAGATAGAACAAAAAATGAGGGCCAATCAAATCAAAGTCTACAAGATAAAAGAAGTTAACTAAAATAGGAGAATAGTGGAAGCTATGAGTAAGAAAGTATATTGGGTTCATCTTATGAAAAGTCAAATGCCAATCCTTAATTCTGAAGAAGCAAGAGATTATCATAGGTTTAGAAAGGAAGACTGATTTATACATAAAATTTAAATGAATATTTACCCTTGCTATGGTTAATGAAAGAAGATCCTTGCCCGTTATTCTATCCAGTAAAATTTATTTCCAACAGGGATTTAGAAATCAATGTGTTCAAAATTAAAACTCCCATTTTCCTATAATTTTATCTGCTCATATTCTTTGATTTTCTTCCATTTCCAATTCTAATTAATGCCACTGTATCTTTGTAGATATTCAAGATGGAGTATTTCTTAGGAAAACAGCCTCTGCATTCATACTGCTTAGGATCTAGACTTTGCCTACTCTCTTACCCAGTCTTAGCTCAGATATATTCATGTGGAATCTTACAATTTTACACTCTTGGTTAAGACATATTACAACTATCTTTGACATTCTGCTTTGACATCAGTCTAGAAGCTCATTGCTGACCCACCTTTGAATCCATGTTACTGCCAAGTAAACAGTGGGCTTGAAAATATGATCCCAGGCAGTATGATCCCAAACCTGTCACTCTTTTTTTTTTTTTTTTTGGGTCCGGTCGTGGGGCCTGAACTCTGGGCCTGGGTGCTGTCCCTCAGCTCTTCAGCTCAAGGCTAGCGCTCTACCACTTGAGCCACAGTGCCACTTCCAGCTTTTTTCTTTTTGCTTATGTGGTGCTGGGGAATCGAACCCAGGGCCTCAGGCATGCAAGGCAAGCGCTCTACCACTGAGCCACCTTCCCAGCCCAACCAACCCTGTCACTCTTAATCATT